TGCAGAGAAGCGATAAAAGAATACCCCAAAAAGAGACTAGCAGAAGTTATGGCAAAAGCGGCAGAACCTAGGTAGAGCAATCGCAAAGCCCAGCGAGGCTTCGCCAATGTAAGACCAAAACGATTGCAGGTCGATGCCCTGACGGGACGTTCACAGCTTCCAGAAGGCTACAGAGGAAATCATCCACCAATACTACCCGGATCTCTTCGCTAGCCATGTCCTCTTATCGTCATATAAATTGAAGGAAGATGAATATATCGTTCCACCGGTCCTCCCTTCCGAAATCCGACATGCCCTGTCGTCGGTGAAGAACAGAACAACACCCGGTCCAGACAGGAATAGATCAGAGCACCTGAAAAGCCCGCCGCCAGTTCTCATCGACATCCTGGCTCGGCTTTTCACTCGCTACTTGTCAGAATGCAAGGCTCCCATTCATTTGAAAACGACGAAGACCGTGTTGTTGCTCAAACAGGAAGACCTTCACGACATAGGCAATTATCGCCTAATCTGCTTGATGTCCGTTGTCTATAAACTCTTTACTCGAGTCATCCTAAACACAATTGACGGTTAAAGAGGCTCCCGATGACCAGGGCGCCCCGAGTCGGTACATAATGATCGTTCGTGAGCTATATTAAGATTTCACAACCAAAATATTTCCATTCTACAACAATATTACCATCTACGTAAGAAGAGGGGCTCGACAAGGGGATACAATTGCGGCAAAATTAGTTACTGCCACCTTCCAAAACGCCATGCGACATTAGAATGGGACGAAATGGGAATGAAAATTGACGGTCGACAATTAAACCATCTTCGCTTTGCTGACGATATCGTCCTCATAACCCCAAGCATCAGCAACGCAGAACGAATTTTGACCGATTTCAACAACGCCTGTGGAAAGATTGGTCTTCAACTAAATCTAACGAAAACGATGTTCATGAGGAACGGATGGGTTTTGAATGCCCCATTTACGCTCAACAGAGAGAACATCTGCGACTGGCCCAGTTACGTCTATCGAGGTCGTGAAAGCAACGTGATGAACGACCTAGCTCCAGAGTTAAGCAGGAGGAAACGAGCGGCTTGGCGAACGCTTAACAGCATTGAAGATATGGTGAAGAGGACAAAGAACTTCCGACTTCGTGCCCACCTTTTCGACTTGATGATTATCCGTGCCCTAACGTATGCAGCAGTAACTTGGTCGTTACGTAAGCAGGATGAAAGATCACTTGGAGTTATCGAACGCACAGTCGAAAGGTCGATACTAGGAGTATCGCGTATCTCGCAAATGCGAGGATCCGAAGTTCCGACCTAAGTCAACGATTGAAAATCAGTAACGCCATTCTGCACGCCAGGATATCGAAAATAAGGTGGGCAGGACACGTGATGCGCTTCAACGACAACCGATGGACGAGAGTCGTTACCAACTGGATTCCTCGGGACATCAAGCGTTCTACAGGAAGACCGATCCGTTGGTCCTATTCCTTCACGAAAGTTATAGAAAAAAGACATGATGCTTAGCGAATTTCTAGAGCGAGGAGGACCCACGGGGCTACTCTTGCACGCGATGGAAAAAAGGAAGAGTTGCTGGTACCCGCTCGAGTCACTCAACAATCAGCGGGACGACAGGTCACAGGTGACCATTGAAGCAGAGGCGATGCTCAGTGAAGCGAGAAGAAGATCGAGCCACACATAAATTGGTAGGCGATCAGTGTTTGAAAAAACCTATGCAACGACGAATAATTCAAAACAAATGGTTTTCTAGTTTCGAAGGCCACCTTGAATGCTTGCCTCGGGCGTTTATTGAGCATGAAAGCAATATGAAAATTGATGAAAAGGAAGGAGTAGAGTCGCATGGGCTGCAGTTGGGCCTTGTTGAAGACGTGGCCTAATACTTACACCAGGAGCCTCCGCATCACCCACAAGGCCTTGAGTAGGGTCATTTTGAATTTGATGTGGACTTGAAACTTTCTGCCGATTTGTGCAGCTTCGTATTCAAGGCCTACCTCATTTTCAAGCTCAGAAGGCACGTATCGATAGCGAAACACACATGGGCCGGTCAGCTAGTAATTACAAGTGGGCTTCAAGGTTATGCAAGCTTACTTTTAGACGACTACTCAAGGATGCAAAGATGTTTCGTCCCAATCGGTGACGATTTTATTCGCAGATAAGACCGTGTTCAAGATTATCGAATAGGCCTTTTGGTCGCTGTCATTTTCGAAGCAGACAACTACTGTGAGCGACAAGGCCTACACTTCTTTGAAGACCTGTTATCTAGATGTATAAGTAAGTAAAAAATCTCGAGGTCTTTACTAGCTTGCACAACTTCAGAAATTTCATCCTTCATGTATTACTGATGAATCCATTTTTGCGATAGTAATCCAATAGGAAATCTGAATGAGATAGGAATTAAGACACATTAGAAGGCAAGTTTTATGCTATGTATGATTGAGCTGCAGATTTTACGCCCACTCATTGATTTTTTCAGAAGAAGTTATCGATTGCTTCCGCACGCGAGACAACATTGTACAGCGCAGCTGATGGACGTAATCAAGTCTACTTTGTTATCGCCACGAAGGGAGTTGCTGTGCTCGAAGAGAACCTCGCTGATGAGGGAGAGCTCAAATCATAAATATAATGTGTGGCTTAATAAATGTTAGCTAACTAATATCACAGTGCATAATCATACTGGTGATGAACATGAGATGTCGTTATTTATGATATCAATTCTATTTATGGCTTGTAGTTTTTCCTGCATCATAGACTATTACTGATCCAATCGTTGTGCACTACGTCCTTGGATATGATCTAATCTTTCGGTTTTGGTGACTTTTTGGCTCCGACAAATCATCTGCCAACTAAAGTCTGCGAAACTAGTTCAGGCATACCCCTTCACTCAACTCTTGCGATTATAGGTTTAAAACAGTCCTAACAGGTTTGACCCTTCTTGCACACACTTTAATGGTGTGAATGTGGTATAAATGGAAGAGGACACCTAACAAAAGAAGTTGTGGGGACTAAAAAGTCTCTGACGTACTGTTGGTCCTCCAAAATCACCTTGATATCGTCACATCAGTATAATTTGTAGCGGTTCAAACTGCACTAGGTGCAGGAAATCATTTCGAGGATTTACTGATTTGAAAGGAATCAGGTACATTTCGTAAAGCTAGTTTGCTTAACCAGTGATAAAGGTTGCAGCGACGAATAATGTTTATGGTATAATGTAAGCAGATATAAGAAAAGTTATCGACCTAAACCCAATGAAACAAGGTCTCCCCCACAAATCTGTTAAAGCCTCAATAGCGAAGTCACACTAATGATTAAAGTAGCAATTCCCAAGTTTCGAACAAGTTTAACATGTTTCGAACAGCAGCCAGCGTATGTACTGGGGAGGAGCAGAGAGAAGAATCCGTGAAATTGGCTCGGGAAATAGCCACTTCTAATGGATATGAATTTGTAGCCCCTCGGCTTAGGTTTAGAGGAAATAGTGTGCCTCCAAACGAAAATTCGAATGAAAGGAAAATCCCGTTCATACTCCCGCTCTTTTCAAATGAGATTAGTACAGCTATAAAACGCTGTTTGAAAAGAGCGGGTTTAGAGCAATCGGTGGCTCTTATTGAAATACCACCGAATACTCTAAAACGCCAACTAGTTCGCAACCGCTTATATAACCGTCTCTGTATAATGAAAGATTGTAAAATATGTCCTAACGGCATAGACGGTGATTGCACGAGCGTAGGTACAGTCTACCTAATCTCTTGCAAAGCGTGTAGCGATAAATATATTGGCGAAACGGGTAGGCCGCTCTATGCCCGTATAGAAGAACACCTAGCTGATAAGCGTCTTAAAAGACGGAACACCCCGTTAGGGACGCATAGAGAACAGAAACACGACGGAGCTGATTTTGAGATTGAAGTCACCATCCTTGCGCAGGAGCAAAAAAACATCAGCGCGAAAACTTCTTGAAGCACTTTGGATTAATACCACCAATCCAACTATGAACCGCAGGGAGGAATGCCTTGTTATCACACGTGATTTTAGTCAGTATATAAGACTGTTATTTTGATGTGTAAGGTGCATTACGAGCCTATGTGATCTCCTTGCGGTTGTCTCCACTTGAATCATTCAGTGGAACACATATAAAAAGCGGTGAGTATGTTGAGAGTTGATTTTGTGCTTGATGCGATTGAAATCTAGGTCTGGTGATTTTTTCTAAAAGAGTATTGGAGGTGTTTGGCTTATTGGATTGCGGACAATTTGACCTTTCCAGGCTCTGAAGAAGGCGAACTGCCGAAACGTCAGCTGTGAATAAATTTTATTATAACACCTCGTGTTTTGCTTAAAGAAGAAAAACAGTGATTAAAGTAGCTATAAAATCTTTGGCGAACTATCCATTGATTTCTGATATTGGAACACATTGATGACATTTGTGGAACATATGGAATAAAAGTATATGCAAACTAAAAGTTTCGTGCTGCAATATTTTAATTCAGAATAACAAAAGATAATTTACTTAATCAAATGACTATCTATTCATTTGCGCAGTCATATGGAGAATTGCTGCCAACACACGAATTAGATGATAATTCATTGAAATTCAAGTAATTATAAACAAGACTGCATTGAAATGGTCGATAGCACTCGCAAAAGAAACATTTTGTGAGTATTTGGTATGCCTCATGTAAAATGTGAGATTTCAGAGAAGGCATTGGCGTTTTCTCCTTACTATAATAGCTTTGATACTTAAAATTTTTGGCACTTTTATTGCATTTTTTGCAGTATTGTGATGTTTCGCATATACCTAGGAGAACTGAGTACTGAGCAAAAGCACGGCCTCAGACGGGAATCGAGTCCGCACTTCATCAATACCGGGGACGGGTACTACTACCACTACATCACCGAGACCACATTTGCACCACCACTCATACCTGAGCAAGAATATTAAAGGTTGGTGGCTGATTAATAACATAGAGATATCGAAGAATGAGTGATGTCGCAAATGCGCTTCGGTATTGTAGTGGTAGTAACACGCGTCTCCGGTATGGAAGAAAGGTGGTTTCGATTCCCGCCTGAGGCCGTATTTTTGTTTACCACTCAATTCTCTTAGGTATAATAGCCTTATTGAGGTATTTTCTGTCATGTTTTGTCATTGATCAGCAATTAAACCCCATTTATTGGCATTAGAAGTCTATGTTTCATTAAATTACTACCACATTTTCACTAAAGGGCCCTTCGCTTGTTGCGCGATTGCCTCGTGCCAAACAAGTCGTAATGTAGGGAATACGTTTCAACAAATATCTTATCTTATAACTAAGTTTTTCAAATCTTTCCGGACGCCAGTTTTTGGTGGAGTGCATTTTAGGCGACTATGATTAATGGCTGACTAGACGCACTCCAATGGCAATGTGATAGTTTCCTGATGAAATTTAGTTTACTGCCGCTATTGAAAACGATTAGAACTTGAGTAAATGGTGTAATATGACAGAGGAGACTTTATGAAGACTGATTATGATTGAAACATGTCATAACACATTAGAAAAGAATGAAAAGCATGTCAAAAATGGTATTGCATACTCCAGTGCAACGTGATTTTATCGATGATTCAAAACAAATTTTCATTCATAGTGTACTTCGAAATGTGGGACTTATATTGAGTTGTGGAAGAGCCTTCATTTTATTATACCACTCTTCATATGTCGACTTATACTCAACTATGAACATTATCAATCGCTGAAACTACGAAACAACTCCAACGTTTCCTCTGCAATCACGTTTTCTGAATAAAAGTCAGGTGCTTACGATAAAGTCATATTTTTAGCTGTTATTGAGCAGTTGGCAGCGCATGTGGCTCAGTGGTTAGAGGGTGGCTCTGCATCGCACACAAGGTCAATGATTCGATCACGCCTTCATGGTTCACCAAGCCTTCCATCACTGCGGGCTCGGTAGATTGGTACCAGACTGGTCTCAGACCTATCTGGGAGGATAGCAGCAGTGACTCGGTTCAGCGGGAGGCCACCGCGAGTCATTGCAAAAGCCAGGTATGCATTCATTCACCTCAGACGAAGTTAAAAATTGAAGACGAATGCATGGCGCATCCCTCAGGTTTTGATCAACTCCGAAAGCTTTATTCAATAAAGCTAATAAGCTTTATTGAATACTTTTTAAGTTCAATTATTAGCGTCTTGTTTATAATTATCAAAGTCATTCACACCTTCATTACTTAGTCGTCCAACTCATTTTGCACTCGTATTATGGAGTAAGGTTTTTCAGGACAACTGGGCGGTCTTCTTACAAAAAATACGCTTGTAGATCTGCTGATATAATCCCAATCATTTGTAACATGAAGTTTCCGTAGAATCTAATTGTTTCTACATGGTTTCGAAAAACTCGCACTAAATTACACGACCTAGATTACCTATATGAAGGTAAGACGATATTTTTTTTGTTAGTAGAAAGTAACGGGAGTCTCAAACTTCTCATCAACCAAAAATAGTGTTGAAATCAACATTTCTAACGCTAACATATATCCTCATGCACTCTTTCATTAAGTGTTTGATTCTGTCGGTATTAATGGACCTCCAACAAAGTTTCCGAACTTGAATCAGAAATTCAAAAATTCATTTTTCCAAGTAGTTGAAAGTATCAAACAAAATGATTGAAGTATTATACGTCTGCCTGGATAAAATTTTGCCAACGCTCCAGCAACAAATCAATTCCGCGCTCATAAAACTCATTATTCATCGATGCAAACAACCAGCCAATTCTCGACGCAAATGATTGATGTCTCGAAACTTTTTCTTGTCCAACCAGTGCTCCAATGATCTGAAGAGAGGAAAATCGGACGCAGACAGACGTCAGGCGAATACGGCGAATGAGTGCTCCCCGCCCAAAACTGGTTAACTACTTCCTTGTATCCTTGCCAACGTGTGGCTTTGCTTGCCTTGAAGTAAAATGTCTAGGCGACGTCGGTGACGTGGATTGCTTGATTGCAACGGTCCAGCTGGCGCCAGTATCGCTCATCGTTGCAGGGTCTGACGCCTTGCAACAAGTCCCAATAAATCGGCCCACTTCGATCTCAGAAAATAATCATCACTGCTTTTGGCGAAAACCGATTTAGTCTCGGTGTTGATGTTACTTGCTGACCTGGTGACAACCACTGATCTGGACAATGGTGGCTCTTGAAGAAGATCTACTTCTCATCAATGGTGACAATTCTATTCAAAAACGAAGAGCGGCAACAACAACGAAGATGAGCTTGCGCAGTTTGCTTTCTCTTGCTCTTTATTAAGCTTGTGTGGAGAGATCGTGCTTATCCAGTTGCTCTCGCGCCATTCCTTGCCTGTGTCTTTCAAAATATTTCGGATCTGGTCGTCTGAACAGATGCAATCATCTTCCAAATCACCGATTGACAAAGTCAGGTCTTTTGCAATCGCTTCAATGAATGCTTCTCGATCAATCTCAAGCGGTCCTCGTGACGGCTCCATTGTTGGACAAGTATGTGCAAAAAAATATAGAGCGCGTAATTTATTTGTTGCCGATTTGGCAGAGTTGCACCCAGGCAGGCGGACAATACTTTACTCAATGTTATTTGATATTATCTATTACTTGGGAGAAAAAACTTCTAAATTTTTGGATGAAGCTAGGAAACTCAGTTGGAGACCTAATTTATGTAGAGTTTTATATATGCGATCCGTATCAGCACGTCGATAGCAAGTGGCGAATTTTTGAAGACGCTAAGTGTTATTCTAGTTTTCCAGAATAACAAGCGACCAAACAAAGACGGCAAAAATAGATCAAAGCAACAACACCGTAGATCTGATGACTTGCGCCACTAGTAAGATGGATTTAGTAGTATTTACATTTGCTGGCTTCGCCAACTATAAGACAAGATGATTGCACTTCGATACCCTGACGGGACACTTACAGGTTCCAGAAGGGCTATGGAGAAAATCATCCATGAATACTACTCGGATCTCTTCGCTAGCCATGTCCTCTTACCGTCATATAAATTTGAAGATGACGAATAGGTCGTTCCAGTAGTTTTCCCTTCCGAAATCGGCATGTTATATCGTCGGTGAAGAAAAGAACCACACCCGGTCCAGAGAGGATTAGACCAGAACAGCTGAAGAACCTGCCGCCAGTTCTCATCAACACCCTGGCTCGGCTCATCACTCGCTACTTGTCAGAATGCAAGGTAACCAGGTAATGCATTCAATGGAAAACCAGCAAGACCGTATTGATGTTCAAAAATGGAGACCTTCTCGACATAGGCAATTATCTCCCAACCTACTTGCTGTCCGTTGTCTATAAACTCTTTACTCGAGTCATCCTAAAGAGGATTGACAGAACACTGGACAAAGGACAACCAGCGAAAAGCAGGGTGCCGATAAGGATTTAGTACCATAGACCACATCCACACGATTACAAAACTCATAAAAGTTTCACGAGAGTACAAAGAACCACTCTGTCTCACTTTCATCGATCTGAAGAAAGCATTTGATTCAGTGAGAAAAGAAGCTGTTATAGAGGCTCTGGATAACCAGGGCGTCCCTACTCGATGCACAATGATCTTTCGTGAATTTATAAATATTTCACGACCAAAATGTCTCCGTTCTACAACATTATCACCATTGACGTAAGAAGAAGGGTTTGACGAAGCGATACAATTTCGCCAAAACTATTCACTACCACTCTACAAAACGTCACGCGAACATTAGAATGGGACGATATGGGAGTGAAAATTGACGGTCGACAATTAAATCATCTTCGCTTAGCTGACGATATCGTTATCATAACACCAAATATCAGCCAAGCGGAGCGAATGTTGACCGATTTCGATAACACCTGTGGAAAAATCAGTCTTCATCTAAATCTAACAAAAACGATGTTCATATGAGGAACGGATGGGTTTCGAATGCCCCATTCACGCTCAACGGAACGACAATTTCCGAATGCTCCAGTTACGTCTATCTAGGTCGTGAAATGAACATGATGAACGATATAGCACCAGAGTTGAGTAGGAGGAAACGAGCGGCTTGGGGAACGTTTGAGAGCATCGAAGATGTAGTGAAGAGGACATAAAACATCCGACTCCGTGCCCACCTTTCCGACTCGACAGCTATCCCTGCCCTAAAGTATGCAGCAGAAACCTGGTGGCTAAGTAAGCAGAATGAAAAATCACTTGGCGTTATCGAACTCGCAGTCGAAAGGTCGGTGCTAGAAGTATCTCGTATCTTGCAAATGAGAGAAAGGATCCGAAGTTCCGATCTGCGTCAACGATTGAAAATCAGAGACGCCGTTCTACACGCCATTGTATCGAAAATAATGTGGGACCGGACACGTCATGGGCTTCAACGACAACCGATAGACGAGAGCCGTTACCGACACTAGATTCCTCGGTAGGTCAAGCGCTTTGAAGGAAGACCACTGACCCGCTGGTCCGATTTCTTCACGAAAGCGATAGAAGAAAGATATGATGCTCAGCGAATTCCTAGAGCGAGGAGGACCCATTGGGCTACTCTTGCACGCGATAGGCAAAAAATGGAAGAGTTGCTGGTACCCGTTCGAGTCACTCGACGACGAACGTGACGACACGTGATACAGGTGATAAATTTGCTGAAGATGAACCAGCTTTGACAGTGAGGCCAGTGACAGTGACAATGCAGTGAGTAATAAGAGAGTTCGGGATTCCGTGTTTGTCATAGTCAACCCTCTTATGAACTTGGGGTAATTATGACAGAAGGTGGCCACAATCATTAGTATTAGCAGAGATTCAAACAATTTTTTGTTCTTGTAGTTTGAGACTGATATCATCACTTTAAGTTATGCGAAAAACGTAAGGGAGCGGTAAAATTTCAATTATTTCACTTCTTTCGTCGGCTTTCACTGATCTTCTGATTCCTCCTCATTCTCAAGTTCTCAAGTTCTATGTAATTTCACCGGAAATCACATTTGTCATCATCGATTGTTTTGTCATATATTATGATGTGTTCTTTCATTTTCCTCACGTAAATATGATATTTAGGTCTTCATGTTTATTTTTCTAAAATGAACTTATGTTCTTGGCTTTGGCCGTTA